TTTTTTTTTTTTTTACATTTATGTAATGTTCTTAACTAATATAGAAATTAGTTTTAATGGTTTTGGCTTTCTGAATAAATGTGATGCTTTTGTTGAAATTATTGTTAGAAATCAGATCACTCTTTGCTGAGCCGTGTGCACTTAAGTTTGTGGCTTTTGATGTTTGGTGTTAATAATAACATTTAGTAATAATATGCCTTATATAGAGAGGAAAATTGCTACGTTGTGATCTGTGTCCCATCTAATGCAACTTATTGTCCTCTTTTATATTTAAATGCCATTTTAAAAAATACTTTGTGGCTGTTTGTGTCTGCAGGATCGCCCCAGGACATTCGACATGCACTCACTGGAGAGTTCACTCATTGACATAATGAGAGCTGAAAATGATACCATTAAAGGTAAGTTTAGAAATATACTCAGTTGGTTTTAGACAGAAGTTTTAAATGTATGTTATCTATTTAATCTGATAGAGAGTCTGACAAATATTATGGAGTCACTTTGTATGCAGTAAGTTCTATCGATTTTACATATATACCTCTTCTTGTTAAAAAATCCAATATATTTGATGAACCTCTACAGTGGGGACATTGTGATACCAATTAAGCAATCTAAGAATGGACATTAGCTCAAAGACACCAACCACATACCTTATTTTATTTTTTTAATATCTCAAGCAGTAACTTCTCATTGCCTCAATTGTTTATATCTACCTATGACAATGATTATGTCCCAGGAAGCGTTCACATGTTGGTAGAATTTTTGCCTAGTTTTGCATTTTAAAAAATAACCAATAGTTTCAAAGTTAAAGTGAAGTTTTGTGGTTCTCAGAATTTTTTTTTCTATGTATTATGTTTTAAAAAAAGTATATTTCTGCTGGGCTCGGTGGCACATGCTTGTAGGCCCAGCCACTTGGGAGGCTGAGGTGGGAGGATCACTTGAGCCCAGGAATTCTGGGCTGTAGTGTGTTATGCTGTTAGGTGTCCGAACTAAGTTTGGCATCAATATGGTGACCTCCTGGGAGTGGGGGACCACCAGGTTGCCTAAGGAGGGGTGAACCAGCCCAGGTTGGAAACGGAGCAGACCAAAACTTCCGTGCTGATCAGTAGTGGGATCGTGCCTGTGGCCACTGCACTCCAGCCTGGGAAATATAGTGAGATCCCGTCTCTAAAAAAAAAAAAAAAAAAAAAAAAAAAAAAAAAAAAAACAAAAATAAAAAAAAAAAAAAAAAAAAAAAAGAAAAGAAAAAAGTACTATTTCTACATGGGTTCTGGTCTCAGTTCTGTTGCTGACAAGCTGTCTATCTTGAATAAGACATTCCATTTGACTAGGCCTCAATTTCTTATAAAGACATAGAATTACCTGAGGGAGGTGCTTTAAAAATACAATATAGATATCTGGACCCCATTCCATACGTGGGTTGCAGGCTTGGCATATTATTTTTTTAATATCTCAGGTGATGCTAACCTGTAGCCAGGAATGAAAATTATAAGACTAGATATTTCCTAAGGGCCCTTCCTCTGATTTTGGGAAAAGTATCCCACAAAATAAAACATTTTTCTGGACAAAAATATCGGTCTCCTAGAAAGCAGGTGTTAGTTTTTTTAAAGAAATTTAGAACTTTTGGTATATTTGAACATTCTACTTAAGTTGTTGGCTCCTTGATTGATTGATTCATTCATTCATTCAGTGATTTAATAATTATGACCTGCTTTGTGCCAGACATAGAGCTTTGCACTGAGGTCAAAGGTGATAAGACAGCCTGTTACTTCAGCTGGTGACCCATTTAGCCTAGTTTTCCTTTGAGCTTGCCTCATCATGTTACTGATGCAGAAAAACATTTTATGTATTTTTCAGTAGACCAATAGTGACAATATTTTTTAATGAGGAAAGCTTTTAGGTTTCTAGAGAGAGAGAAAAAAAAATAATGTGTAAAAAAACAGGCATCCATCTGATGTGATACCTTTGAATTGAGAATATTTGGAAGGTCTTTACTGAGTTTCTTATGGAATTCTGGTGGATGACTCTAGTGCAGATGCATGCTGTATAGCTGAGGAAAGTTGATCTCTCACTCAGAACTGGCTTTATTTTTGCTACTTTCTAGCACTCTGACTGTGGGTAGTCCTTCAGCCTCTTGGACCCTTTGTTTTCTCCTCAGCAAAATGAAGAGGCTAAGGTGCTATTTCTAGCACCAGAAAAATTGTACACTCTTAAAGAAAATAGCTAAAGGAAAAATATGAATGTCTGTGGGTTGTGCCAATGTCAGTTTCCTGGTTTTGTATTATAGTTATATCAAATGTTACCGTTTGAGAACACTGCATAAAAAGGCTTTCTCTGTACTACTTTTGCAGCTTGCTGTGAATCTATAATTAGGATTTTGGGAGGTGTAAAGGAAGGGGAATCAGTTGAAAAAGTGCTAAGCCCAGGAGTTTGAGACCAGCCTGGGCAACATGGCAAGACCCTGTCTCTATGTAATCAAATAATTTAAAAAAGAAAGAAAACATGGTGATACCTGTCTTTATATAATAAAATAATTTTTAAAAAACAAGTTAATGTCTGGTGTGGTGGTTTACATCTGTAACCCTAGCACTTTGGGAGGCCAAGGTGGAGGATGGCCGGAGCCCAGGAGTTCAAGACCAGCCTGGGCAAGATGGTGAGACCTGATTCTACATGGGATGCTGAGGCAGGAGCATCACTTGGGCCCAGGAGGTTGAGGCTGCAGTGAATTGTGTTCCTGCTATTCAGGACCCTGTCTCCAAAAAAGGGAAAAAGTTGTTAAAGAACATTTGTATATTCTTAGTGTGTTTAACTCTTTCAGCACATTTTTCAAAGAGCTTCCTATACACTAGATACTACAGATAGTAAGTAATTGGAAATAATTTTTCTAAGTGCCTATATTTTTATCACAGAAAATACAGGTTAACTGCAGTGGATAGAAACAACTTGTTATATGACATTTTAAGAAGCAAACCTCTAATTAATACTTAGGTTAGATTAAAAAAGTTGGCACACATTATTCTTTTTTTTTTTTGAGATGGAGACTTGCTCTGTCACCCAGGCTGGAGTGCAGTGACGCAATCTTGGCTAACTGCGACCTTCACTTCCTGAGTTCAAGCAATTCTCCTGTTCCAGCCTCCCAAGTAGCTGGGATTACAGGCGTACATCACCACGCCCAGCTAATTTTTGTATTTTTAGTAGAGATGGGGTTTCACCTTGTTGGTCAGGCTGATCTTGAACTCCTGACTTCAGGTGATCCACCTGCCTCGACCTCCCAAAGCGCTAAGATTACAGGTGTGAGCCACCGCACCCGGCCTGCATACATTATTCTAATACAATTAACAATAGAATTTCCTTGGCCATCAGTTTTAGCCAGGACATCTTTATCAGATTTTTTTCTTCTAGTTTGCTCAGTGGTAATTGTTTAAAGTTCTGCCTTTATTCTATATTCTAAGTTCTTCTTACTAATTTTTACTAAGTTAAGTTTCTTTAAACTGATATAGGGATAATCAAAAGTTAGGTCTGATGACAGAAAAAATTAAATCTGATTGGTCTGATCCGGAACATACAGATTTTGTAAAATAGTGATTTATAGACTGCAACATGACAAAATGGAAAGACAGTGGGTTTTGGAATCAGATCTGATTAACTGCCATTCTGCCACTACTGTCTGTGGTGGCTGTGAAGATTACATGATATGATGCAGCTATAGATTTCAGTATATTGCCTGGTTCATAGAAGACACTAAAGAAATTACATGTATTATTACTAAACATCTAAGTCTGCTTTCATGCTTATCAAAAAAGCCAGCTTCAGTTTAAGTTTAGGTGTCAGTCTGGCTTGAGTATATTACAGAAACTTTGTGTTTTTTTTTTCTACAAGGAACAATAAAAAATTCACAGATGAGTGCATATATCTAAAATGCCAGATTATAGTTATGCCTGTTTTCTTTCTCAAACAAGATCATGACCTTTGTATCATTGTAGCCTATCACTACCAAGACATTGTTTTTGCTCAGGGTAACATTTTATTTTGTTAAACTATCTTCTGATTTAGATAGCTATTTTAGGAGTACTATGCTTGATTTTAACTGTTGTTCATTCAATTGTGAAATTTTGTCTAAAGGTAATAAAGATAATAAAAATTTGAGTGACTTAAAAAGAAACACATTGTCATTTTGAAATAGGTGTCTAACACTTACCAATTCATTTTGAAAATAAATATATACAATACTCTTCCAGCACTCTGTTTTCTTAGGACAGAAAATAGAAAATTGACATTAGCCAGGTGTGGTAGCTCACACCTGTAATCCTAGCACTTTGGGAGGCTGAGGTGGGTGGATCACCTGAGGTCAGGAGTTCGAGACCAGCCTGGCCAACATGGTGAAACCCCATCTCTACTAAAAATAGAAAAATTATCTGGGTGTGTTGGTGTGCACCTGTAGTCCTAGCTACTTAGTAGGCTGAGGCAGTAGAATTGCATGACTCTCCAGCAGGCAGAGGTTGCAGTGAGCTGAGATCTTGCCGCTGCACTCCAGCCTGGGTGACAGAAGAGAGAGACTCTGTCACAAAAGAAAAGAAAAAAAGAAAAGAAAGGAAAAGAAAAGGAAAGAAAAGGAAATTAGCGTTAATTTTGAGATTACTAGAGAACAGTATGCCTCTTAGAAAAAAAGTTAAACATTTGATTGTTTTAAAGACTTCACAATTCAAAGATAACTTTAATACTTATCTTAAAAATAATTTCATAAAAATTATGAATGATCTCATTTATTTTATCTTTAATTTCTAGTTTCTCATAGATATACAGTTTGTGCATGTATGAGTTTAAATAATAAGGCCTAAATTTGCTACGGAAACTACAAGTTGAATCTATTGGTATGGTTATTATTAACTTAAATTTTCAAAAGAGCTAGAAAACTTAATTTGTATTTTTCATTTGGGAACAAAAAAATTTCCCTTACTGTAATGGGGTTAAAAATTTTATTTTTACTATCAACAAAATGCTTAATAGGCTTAGGAATCTTCAAGTACAGTTTTTGAATTTCTTTATGAATGTGTTACTGATTCCAACTGACTTGCTGGAAAATTTATCTTTTTTTTAAACAAATGTTCAAAGGAGTACATAGCTTTCATAATTCATATTAGGGTTTTTTTAACAGCTGATTTTAAATTGCTTTTCTAAGAATTTTGAGGCTACTATCATTTTTTCTATGTACAAGGGATTTAACCCTTTTTTTTTTTTTTT